AATGTAAAACAAAAAATATAAAAAAATATATGATAAAAAAGAATAANATAAAATATCAAAGATATGAAAAAAAATCAAAAGTATGAAACAAAAAGAAAATATTAAAAAAATATGAATAAAAAAAATATCATAACTGAAAAAAAAATATAAAATATCAAAAATATGAAATAAAAAGAAAATATCAAAAAAAAAATATAAAAAAAATATGAAAAAAAATATCGAAGATATGAAAAAAAAATATGAAAGAATACATATATAAAAATATATTGATTATGGTTGATAATGAAATAATATGATAATGAACATAAATTTGTTTGCATGGAGTTTCAATGCAAGGAAAATTTTGCATCAAATATGTATTTGTTTTAAAAAATGTAAATTGCAGGTACATCAAGAATTAGAATTCCACCTCGTGAAAATATATGTTCTCAAAAAATATCAATGGCATGTAGTCCACCTTATAAACGTGTTAGAGCTTTACGTTTATTTGATTCTCCTGCTACTCCAAAGACATTAATGGAAAAGAGTGCAATGCATACTCCATTTCCATCTAAATGTACTAGACTATTTTCATTAGACAAATCTAGATCATGTAATTATCAAAATAAATCTGACAAACCTACTGCTAATGTAAATCCTTTTACACCAAATGGAATGTTGTTAACTGCAAGAAAACGCACTAGATCTAAACGTAGTCTTAATGGGTAAGTATAAATATAAAAATCAATCAATTTGATAATACTATTGATTTCATAATAAAAGTTATTTTCTCTTAATTTTAGATCTCCAGATATTCAAATACCAAAATTCGATCTCGCTGATTCCGAAGATTCTGATAACGAAATAGAACAAGCTACAAAACGTGTTGCATTGCAAGATTCGAATATTTTACGATATCATCAAGAGTTCCATGAACTTGGTTTAATTGGAACAGGTGAATTTGGTTCAGTTTATAAATGTATTAACCGATTAGATGGATGCACTTATGCTATTAAAAAAAGTATTAAACCAGTTGCTGGAAGTATTAATGAAAAGAATGCCTTAAATGAAGTGTATGCACATGCTGTACTTGGTAAACATCAACATGTTGTGAGATATTATTCTGCATGGGCAGAAGATAATCATATGATAATTCAAAATGAATATTGTAATGGTGGTAGTTTAGCAGATGCAATTATCAACTTAGAAAAGGAAAAAAAACATTTTACTGAAGCAGAAATGCGACAATTGTTGTTACATGTTGCTGAAGGTTTAAGATATATTCACAGTATGCAATTAGTACACATGGATATTAAACCTGGAAATATATTTATTTCCAAAGAAAAGAGGTTACTCGCAGTTAATTATGATTCAGCTGATGATGGTTTCGACGAAGAGGAAACTATCGAAGAAGAAATTACTTATAAAATAGGAGATTTGGGTCATGTTACATCCGTTAATAATCCTCAAGTTGAAGAAGGAGATTGTAGATATTTGCCAACAGAAATTTTACGCGAAGACTTTAGTCATTTACCAAAAGCTGATATTTTTGCTTTTGGATTAACTGTTTACGAAGCAGGTGGTGGAGGTCCACTACCTAAAAATGGACCAGAATGGCATGATATTAGAAATGGAAATTTAAAGGAATTATCCCATTATAGCCGTGATCTTAATGAATTACTTAAAGTAAATTCATTCTCTAATTCTATTATTTAAATATTTATTTTATAAAATGATAATAAATTTCTTTTTTTTTTATAGTTAATGATTCATCCAAATCCTGAAATGAGACCATCAGCAATTTGTCTTATACAGCATAGAGTATTGTGCCCATTTGGAAATAAAACAAAAGCACAACTTCGACGGGAATTGAATGCAGAAAAATTAAAAAATGAAATTTTGTCAAAGCAACTGCAAGAAGCGGCTAAGTGTCTAAAAACTATTGCTCCAAACGTAGCGGCTATTAATAATACAATGAATGCAGGAGGCTACAAACTAAGACCTACACCAACTAGAACATCGTCTCGAGCAGTGGGTAAAAAAGTCAATAGAAGCAATAGCACTACAAACTTTTGAATGTTCTATGTTATATTTATGTCAGACTAAATGAGAAGGGGAAAAGGTGCTTAAGAAAAAAAGAAATTTTTTTAAGTGCCTTGAGATATTGTGATATAAAGTAACTCTAATTTAGAAGTAAAACTATAATTAATTTGATAGCAAGAAAATATGATATACAGAGTGAAATTGTACAATAACCACGGGTGTATATCTTTGCAACATATGATGGAGATATTACATTAATAATATAAGCTGTGGATTAACTTATGAAAATTACAAATAAATAACTTTCATATTTTATATTTCATTAGATGGGTAATACAGTAATTTAATACTATTTTCTTATGTATATTATGTTTGATCTTTTCTTTTTTTATATAAAATAAAAATAAGTACATAAGTTTTGAAAAGTTTAATGATTATTTCTATTGTTCATTGGTCTATTTATCTTATAAAGTATAAAAACTGTAAAAAAATCTATTTCTATATAAAATGAGAATAATTTTATTAAATATTTTCTTATGTGCCTTTAATGTTACAAGTATTTACTTATGTACTTTGTGTAATTACAATATACAATTATTTTACAATATTACTATTTTTTAGTGTAAAATTAGTATCATAAAAAGAATATTGACGGAAATGAAATGATAATGTTTTTAATATCACTTATTACCTAACATTTTGACATATCATCGTGTGATATTTTCGTTCTTCCCGTTTTTACTTAAGAATTACTGTAGTATATAAAATGAAATACTAACAGTAAACTGTGACAAATTTATTACAAATACATTGTATTTTTATATATAGATATTTACATATAATAATAGTTCAGTGTTGTGTATTGTTTAGTGTTTAAATATTAAATAATCTCTGTATTATCCATCGTTAATTTTCAAATTTTTATAGAAATTCAGATAATTTTTTCTTTCTGTAATTTTCATAATTATCAGATACAAGACTGCTACTTTAAATATATCATAGAATAATTTTTATATTTTGCCAGATTCAATATTTTTTATAATTTTATATATATGTCTTTTTAAATTAATAATGAATAAATAACAAATAATACATGTTACCTACATATTGTGTTTATCATGTTTAAGAAGATAGAAAATTTTTTGATGATGACTAAATAGAAATTGACAATTAACATAGAACTTCATTTAAACATAATTTCTAACCGTGAAATTTATAATTTCACTCTGTGTATTCTTATATAAGGAAATAAATCTTAAAATTGCAAACAGTTATAGAGAGAATCTTTGAACGTAAAATGTTTTAAGTTTAAATTATTTTTATAATATTTTTTTATAGTCATATTATCTTTGGCATGCTCTAGAATTCATATTATACAAGTTTTCTTTGTGTTTCTAATATATGTATATATGATATATATAATATATATATATATATATTGGATAAATATTGATATATAATAATCCATGTTTCTAATATAGGTGGTACTATTGATTAGATTTTTCTTATTCTATTTACTAATGCAAAAATTCAAAAAAAAAAAAAATATATTCATTTCAAATGTGTGTCAAATTTAAAGTATTACAAATTTTGCTATATTGGACAGATTGACTAATGATCTTTTTTACTTCATTTTTTGTTTTGTAATACATTGTGTTTCTTGATCAGGAATGACAAAAACTAATGGTTTATCATAATATAGTGAATTCAAAGTCCTGTATCATATAAATACATCCAATGAATATCCTTTGTTCCTCAAAATAACATTGAATAGATAAATCTTATGTATAATTATTTGGCTTTTAGCTAATAAACAAATCAAAGCCTTTGTATCTTGATTTAGTATTTTTGTATCTGAGCATGCTAATATGTGATCTTTTATATATTTGCGTTACTGGAGCATTTCAATATTTATATTTAGAAAAAAAAAATATAACGTGTAATGCTTTGCATTACCATTTATAAAATGATTTCGATTGGAGTTTTTAATATCATGAGATTTTTTGTTGTAGTTTGCGTTACAAACTATTTATGTCTTTTATTTTCAGTATAAATTCAATTCTTAAAAGTAAGATCATTTAAAAAATTTTCTGTTACACTATCAAAGTTTTAAAAGGGTAATGCGATTAAATATTAATTTTCGTGAGCGTATAACCTCGTTTACAAAGCAATGTTATGTATGTAGTTATAGACCGTGCTATGTATAAAAGTTACGAAGTTTTGTAAGAAAAAAATGTGAATAATCGATAAAGGAGCTCTTAAGCTTCAAACTGTGTGCCAAGAAGGGTGGACCCCTACTTATGGCAGTAAAGGTATTGTGGTAATATGCCATGTTTACATATACTGTTGTTTCATTAATCTTATTATTATTATTAATATTATTATTGTATTATTATTAATATTATTATAATAAATAATTAACAAATAGATTTTTTTTGTTTATTCTTTATTATATTTGTTAAAAATTAATGCTATAAAAAAATCATAAAACCAAAATTAATATATTTTTATTATTTATTTCAAGTATAGATATTTTGATATCAATTTTGATTTTAATGATATTATAAAATGAATATAAATGTTTAAATTAACACTTAATTAACAAATAAATTAACAATAGAAACTTTTTATTATAAATATATTTTTTTTGTAAATATATCTTATTAAATTTATGCAAATTATTTAAATAAATAATAAATTTTATGTTATTTTCATATTTTTTTAATAAAAACTTAATTTTAATAAAAGAATATATGAAAATGTTTTTTGTAACTACGCATGCGTAAGAAAATGAAATCGGATTTTCCTAATACATTTTGATACGATATGCATCAAAGCATTGTATTATCTAAATAGTTAATTGTTAAAAATAATAAACATTTAGAATAAATATCATATAAAAATATTCGTGATTAATGATTTTGAAGTTTTTCAAACAAATATTAATGAATTATAACGAAAAATTTAAATATATTTATTACGGTCATATAATAATTTTTTAAAATACAATTTTTGAATTTATACATCACACACAAGTGTAAATATACAATTATGTTTGAATGCAAGCTTAATTTGCACAAAGCATTATTATTTTGTATATATATTTCATTCAATAAAAAAAAATTGAATAATACAAATTTTAGAATAAAAAACTTATTATTAGAAGAATATCATTGCATTTTATAAATCTTAAAAGTATTGCTTTAATTTAGATGCATTTATCTATTTAATTTTATATTACATTAATTAAATTATGAATTTTACAGGAGTTTTGATAATGATAAAAAATAGCACAGAATGATTAATGTATGATTTAATACAGTATTATAGACAATAAGATTTTCTTTACTTAATTATAATATTTTAAGCATGTTTAAATAGGATTATAGTAAATATAATATTTTATCCAAATATGCACGTATAAATTCTTGTAAAGAAGACAACGCATGAAATTTCTTCAAAGAAGAGTCAGAAAAAAAGTTTCACTGGTTGCTTGTAGGCTGATATAATTTCATAAAAATGGTTTGCATCCTTTTTATTGTTATTAACATTTTTTCATTGTTATAAATCATATTTCATTTGCTTTTATTATATATTATTACATAAATAAAAATTTTCAAAAATAAACACATATAAAATATTTAAATTATTACAGGCATGTATAAAATTAAGTAAAAATGCAAGAAAATTATATGCAAGATATTCAACCAAAAAAAAAACAAAATGAACTTTTATATAGATATGGATATTTTTTATTAATGCTTTTGTGTATGATGCTTGCTTCTGTTAAACCACATTTTGGTAAAACAAATGGTATTATTTTATAAACAAATAATTAAATATATATAATAAAATTTTAAATTACTATTTAATAATTAATAATAATCAAAAAGATATACTTGTATTTTATCATTTTTATGTTATTTATTTATTATAGGTATTCTGAATGGAAATATTATTATTCGATATTTTGCTATTCCTTTAACATACTTAGAAGCAGGTTTATTGTGTGATCCAAAAATGCTTTATTTAACATTAAGCAATGGTTCTCTCTTAATATTTACAATGACTTTTATATATATTTTAATGCCTTTTCTTATGAGACTTGGGGTATGTTTATTGACTTATATCAATGTCAATGTGTGGTTATTGAAAGGAATGGAAGTAAATATATATACACAAGCAAAATATCTTTAATTATATAATATGTAAATATTGATAATAATTTAATTTTTTCGGTTTTAGGTACTTTATTGCATGCCACCTCCATTTAATACAAGTTTTGTATTATGTCGATTAGCACAAGCAGATTTATCAACAAGCATTGTGATTACTTTAGTATCTCATTTTGGAGGATTATTTATTTCTCCTATATTATTATATTTTGTGGTAATTACTCACTATTAAAATTTAAAATATGATTTTTCTTTTATAAGAGTTTTAATTCTTTTAGTTAGGAGCATCTACACCACCTTTGGTTGGTATAAATATAAAAGAAACCATTTATAGTACTATTATACCATTAATTATTGGTATTGCAATTCAAATTATTATTTTAAAGTACGATATTTGTCCAAAAATTAAATCACCTTGGTTTTCTCAAGGATTATTATTAGCTACAGCATATCATTGGTTTTGTGATGCATTGTTAGTAGATGCATCATCTTTGCAAGCTTCTGATGTATTATTATGTGTATTAATTGGTAAGTAATTTATGATAATTTAGATTAAAACTTATATTGATATAACCAAATGAACTTAAATTTAAATAGCAATATGCTAAAAATTTTTGTCTAATATTAATGCATGTATATACAATTTATATGTATTTAAATATTATTAATTTAAATTGATTCTAAATATAGCATGTTTTTTATTATTTTATTATGATATTAGTATTCTTTTATGTTCAAGCCTGTGCGGGACAACTATTTGTTAGCTGCTTATGTTGGATTTTGTGCTCTCGGTGGTTACCTCGAAATATTTTGCTAGCTACACTATTTACAAGTACTCACAAATCAGTTGGTCTTGGTAGCTGGATTTTACGTGGTGCTTATCATGGTTCAGCTCATGGTTCAGCTGTGAATTTACCATTATCAATATTACCAGTTGCACAATTATTATTAGGTAGTTTACTAGCTGGCTGGTTGTCTCCATAATATAAAATGTTACGTGATTATTTTAAATAATTTCTTTTGCGAATTCTGCTTTCTAATTGAAATTATGTTTATATATACTATCTGTTTCTACTACTGTTATATATGTTTATATATACTGTTTTTTTATTACATATATTTTGTTTTGTACTCAATATATAAGCTAGCTTATAAAAATAATTTTTTTTTTGTTTTTTAATGTATTTAAATGATTATAAAAGAATAAAAAAGAAGTTATAAATATTTTGTAAGTTTTAAAATGTTAAATTATAAAGAATTTTGATATTCATTAAAATTAAAATGCTTAAAAATTTAATATAAATTATTTGCTTAATTATATTTATAAAAAAAATACTTTAGTAAATAATATTGAAATTTGGAATTAAGGAATAAAAGAAAGTCTTAAGTAGATTAAGATTTTAGAATTTTAATATGTAATGTATTTTTAATATGTAAAAAATTGTATGAAAGTTATTTACATAATTTAATTTGAAAAAGTGAAATGTTTAACAAAATATTGGGTAGGATTTTACTTAAAATTGTTTTCAAAATGTATCAAATAAGTTTATTTATATATATAACGAAATGCCAAAGGCGTTTGAAATATAGTGATTCTTTTTTTTCTTTTTAAATTTTACGCATTATTATGAGTTTTATTTATTGCGGAATTTAATACTTACCTTGGAAATTAGTTTTAAGAATTTATATATAACAATTATATATTATTTTTTTCAGTATATATTGAAACAACTAGTGTAAAATTATGCACGAATAAGTTTTTTTCAATTCTAATCAACTTAGTTTCATTGATATTTGATAAAAGAAAATCATGACAATTATACAATACACTGTACATCATTACAGGAACAATTTTAAATAGTACATTAAGTGAAAGTAAAAAAGAAAAACCAATTACACTACTTCGAAGCGTTATACGCTATATCTTACTTGGTAATTATATAATAAATTGTATTTGTATCTTACAAGTTATAAATATAGTTTCTTCACTTTCAATTGTAAAATTTTTGAAAATTATAAGTATCTACCTATATCTAAAAGTCTGGTTACTTGTTTATTATGGATATATCTCAAAAGAAATAACAAGAGACAATTCACAATTCTACACACAAAGAAAAAGGACTTTGAATTCAGAATAAGATGTTTCCCATACAAAACATAGCGATTTTATTCTACAAATAATGGGATAAATTTGGTTAGTTTTTGTTGTTGTTGTTGTTGGAAACTTGTATATCTGTTTTCTATTTCATGATACGCAATTTGATACGGTATATTTTTTTATAATACCGTTATCATGCGCATATGTATATATTTAATAATATTAACAAATAGTGTAACACTCATGATAACGTGTATGAGCTCGTAACCTGATTTTTTTGTGAAAATCATGGTATTTAATGCATCAAACGACAGTGCAGCAATGGCGCAAGTGCTGAGCATATATTGATTCGCCCAGATCATCACACAGTCATTATAGCTGGTACCAAATTTTTGTCACGAATAACGCTGACGCTGCTATCGCCGCCAGCTTCGCGATTCACCATCTTCATCTTCTTCTTCTTCATTTTCTTCAAGAAGTAATGCTTCAGCGTTACCCTGTTACAAATAAAGGTTTATATCATATAAAAAAAAAAAAAAAACAAACAAAATATTTCATATTTTTATTATTTATTTATATATCAGAAAAAGAGAAAGTTTTCAATAAAAGTAAAATAAAATACAAATAATTGCATCTTTAGATTTAAATGTTTAGAAATTACATGATAAATTTAAATTTTAAGGACTCACTTCTAAGTCAATATCTTCATCGGTAGTAGGTGGTGCTTGTTCAGAACGTGAAGAAAGTTGTACGGATGCGTTTGTATTACTACCACCACCACCACGATGGAGATGATGTCCAGAAACCCATGTTATAGATAATAATCTATCTTGAAATGTGCGTCCTTTTACTAAAGCTATTTCGGCTTCTTTTCTGGATTTAAAATTAATTACGATCGAAGGTGTTGCGTCATCTACTATTTGATTGACTATTTCTCCAAATTGCTAAAATATAAAAAATATAAATTTTAATATACATTATATATATAATATATAAAAATATATATATATAAGAGAATTAATCTTACTTGAAAATGCGCTAAAACTTCAGCCTTTTCTTCGGTTTCGTAACCAGAGACTAGAAGACTTGTCGGTCTATGATCTACCGAAACATGGGCAAAACTCCCTCTACCACGACCCCTATATGATAATGCATGACTACCTCGTATAACTCTACTGGATCTTGTACCTCTACCAATAGCTGAACCTGCATTTAAACCTAATGCGGCAGCTTGTGCTCGTAATTCATTTAATCTTTTTTGCAATTCTCCAGCATCTTGTCCTTCTTGTTGCGCAGTCATTAAATCTAATTCTGCATCTAAAATCTCTTTTTGAGTTTGTTCTCTAGATTTGATTTGTGTCTTATTTCCGCCAATTTGACCGTTTGCAGCCAAATCTTTACGTAAATTGTCAATAGATTGTTGCATTGTTTTGATCGTTGCCATAATTGCATCTTTTTGTTCTGGATTCTTTTCAGCTTTATCAATTAGAGCTCGAATTTCTATCAAATGCTTATCTAACAATTCTTGTTTTCTTTTACGTAAATCAGCAGTTAATTTTAATGCTTCTTTACGTTTCTCTTCTTGTTTCTTCTTTAATGTTTCCTTAGCAGCTAGTATCTCCTGCGTCTTTTTTATTGCAAGAACTTTGTCTTCTCGCGTAGGAACAGTAGTAGTTTTTGGCGATGTTGGAACCAATGTTTGTGAAACTTGTTCTTCGGTTGAACGACGAGTGGGAATATATTCATTTTCTTCGGTCTTTGCTGGCACAGTGACAGCAGCACCTAATCGTTCTTTAACAGAAGGTCGACATCCTAAATGAAATGAACAATATATTAAATACTGAAGTTTTTATAAAATAATTAATAAATTGATAAGTTAAGATTTATGAAAAAGTAATATAAATATATGTATGATAACTTACCAGGTGGTACATTTTCAATGGCACCACCAGATGCATTATTGTTAATATTGTTATGCCAAAAAACTTTGATAAATCTATTATTCAACACAGCCTCTGTACTTCTGTATGCAGCCTTTGCTTCAGCTGGTAACTGGAAGGTAACCAACGCTCCTTCAGGATCTCCACCGAAATTAACTTGGATATTTACAATTTTACCAAATTTTGAAAAATGATTATTTAACTGGGTTATGTTGTTCAGACTACGTGGAACTTTTTTTAATTCCAGAGAACAATTAGCTGGATTATGTACCACTCGTTGTTTTGGTCCAAGACGGTTAAAATCAAATGTTTGTTTACGTTTTAATGGATTCGTTTGAGTATGTGTTATTTCGGACGAGTTTGTATGTGGAATTACTGGTACACTAATTAATTCTCTTTGACCTCTTCCATAAATTGCAGGTCCAGGTTGGGGATGTCTACCCCATGGCATTCGGGGTTCCATACTTGGTGCGTCTGGATTGTATTCCGCAAAAGCATCTATTGAAATTTATATTAAAATAATTATATTTATATATAATATATATATAACTATATATATTAAAAATTTATATATAGAAAATATATCAAATTTATAATTTTATATAAAAAATATACCCATATTAGAATGATGTTGATTTCTTAAATGTGGAGGAGGTAAACTGGCAAGAGGAAGATGTTGTGGTGGAGCATTTCCATTAGGTCCTGGAGGTGGTTCTGGAACTGCTGTTACAGGTACTGTTCCTGGTGCTTGAGCACTATGTGGCCCAAAGGTGAGAACACGACTTAGAGCTACATCTTCTAATACAACTGGATCTGTACCATGATCATAGGGGCAGAGATCACCTCTCATACAATATCCTTTTTCTATAAATATTAATTATACTCTATTATTACATTTTTTACATTTTTCTATGAAACAATTTAAAAAATACAAACCATCAAAATCTCTACATCTTCTCTTAGTTTGAAAACCTGGTTGGCTATTCGGAACACTAGAGGCAACAGCAACGACGCTTTGAATTGATTGACTAGTAGTAGACAACCTCATGTCTACATCTCCATGATTACTATCCTGAGTTGGAGTACCACCACCAGGACTCCCGTCAATTCTTTCTGTTCTATCTACTTCCATTCTTTCAGAACGATCTATCTTTTTTCGTTCTAATGATCTTGAACGAGATCTAGATCGAAGTGGTGTTGGAGATCTGTTTCTAAATCGTGCTCTATGGTCACGATTATCAGGACCATCTCGTATTCTTGGACGTATTGGCGATGTGCTACGACTTCTGCTTCGTCTAAAAAAAACTAAATGTTATAGAAAAAACTATAAATTAAATTTTTTTATTATTTGAAATAAAATTTATATAAACCTTCTATCATGCCGTCGCGTATTTGGTGGCGATTCATTTCTCCATGGTCGACTTCTGTCACGTTCTCGATCGCGACGAATATGTTCTCTGCTTCTTGATCTACGTCTATCTCTTTCCCATGAACGTGAACGAGATCTCGTTCGTGATCTCATTCGACCACTTCTAAAATATTTAGATTATGTTTTAAAAAATTATATAAATATTTTATCATTTTATTAATATATAATTTGAAACTCACCGACTCCTAGAACGTTTTTCTTTTTCTTTATCAACTTTTTCAGAATCTGATTTTCTAGTTTCACGTTTTCCTATTGCCATAGGTGCAGATCCATTCATTTGTAATGGAGCAGGAGGATTTGTATTCATAGAAGTAATTGGAATTGTACTTTCAGTTACTTTTTCTGTGTTTAATGCAGGCGGTGGTGGATTTATACCTGGTGGTGTCCCACCACCATCTGGATCACTTTTTGGAGGTGGAAGAACATATTCTTGAGTTTCTAATGTTTTAAATAACAATTCCACAAAATTTTTTGTTTCTATAAGAAATATATCATAAAATAAAATAAATTAAATAATTTTTAAATGTCATTTAAATCTAATGATATTTTAAAATGTACCTTGCTGTAAAAATACATCAAGTTGTTCAACCATTCCACCTCGTAATTCTTCCAATGTTTTGTCCTTCTTAACAAGAGCATATACATATTTTGCTAATGCTGCAGGATCTGCATCACAACTGAAAAATTATATTGATATTAATATTTTAAACAATAATTACAATATTAACAATAAGAAATTCATATGATGTTATACAATAAATACATAAATTGTATATTAATTTATATAACAATGTTTTTAAATAATAATCATGTTTATGTAATAAATAATTATTAGATATAATAATATGATAATATAATAAATTATATAGCAAATATATATTTTGTTATTTGTAATATTCTATAAAATTATATCATGTTTACAAGTTGTAAAATGTAAAACAAAAGGTTAAACTTTACTAAATCAATAAATTACAAATGAATAAATGAAGTTAGTTACATATTATCAATTAATTTATATCAATAAAAAAATTATTTCTTACAATATAAAAAATATAATTCAATGTATATATAATTTTAAATACTTTTGATGTTTTTATTTAACATTTCTACTTAATTAAAGCATTCTTTATTTTATTAAGTATTAAGTATTTTAGTGATTATTAAAGTTTGTTCAATGAAAATTATTGATGAAAGAAATAGATATTTCAAATATTGATTCCTTTTTAAGCATAAACAATGTTTTAATTAAGTATTATTGTCAATAAATCATTTTAGAATAAGTCATTGCTTAAGCTGTTTATGTAGGATGATTAGTAAATTAAAAACATATTTTTATCATGATACTTAAAAGAAATATAGATAAAATTCATGTTGCGAATTAAAACGCAATAGAATTGAATATTCTACGTTCAATTATTCGAAATATATTCGCTTTAAAATAGATATGAAATATATTAGAAATTAGACACATTATTATTTGATTACTTATTATTAAAAGCATAATAAATTCGGCGAAGGAACAGTGTCAAACATGATCTATCGATGATCATTGAAGGACAGGCAGGGTAATACATGTAAATATAATTCTGCATAGGGTGTAAAGCATAGCACATGTACGGCCATTTACAACATCAAATGCATACACATACACTTAAAACCGTACTCGGACAAGCTGGCCTACTTACAGTGGCTCCAAGACGGCAGTGAGCCACGCCTTGAATTGATCCGGATTCTCTATTATCATTTTCAGTGAATATGTGATGAAAAACACATGGAACTTTCCAAAGACACACGTTAATTATACAATTTCTGGGCGGGAATAAGTACTCTCCTAAGTAAAGACAGTCGCCATTCTGAAATCTCTCTCCTATACATGCAGTATTCACATAGATAGACTTTTCACTTCTAGAAAATGTCACAAGAGACGCTGCAGCAGCGCGTCAAAAAAGTTAGGTTTATTCACCAGTAAGTAACATAGAATATGTTGTATACAGATATGTTTGTATTATATCGAAACATTCTCAGTAGATTTTTAATGTATTTTAGAATACTTAAAGTTATTTATATGATAGTTAACAGAAAAATTCAATATAATTTAAATTTTTAGAATTTAGGAATATTTATATATTTATTAAAAAGTATAAAAGACAATTGTAAAATGTTTATATTTCAAGATCATTTGAAATAATCATAATTATAGTAATTATAATAATATATATTTATTGCATATAGAATTTGAATTTTTTTTAATGAAAATTTGTACCTACAATATACTAAGTTTTTAATATATTCAATTTTGAATTTATTTTAATAATTTACTGTTGTAAAAAATATATATATATTTAAAATTTATATTTAAAATATAAAAATATTTTTATTAATAAGTTATTATTTTCTTTTATAATGATTAATTTTTATATTATGAATTTATAATAATTTTTTTTATTATATAAGTTTTTATTGTGATTTAATATTATTTTTATATTTTAAATATTTAAATATTTCTTGACTTATTAAAAATCGAGCTTATTATTATATTATAACACATGTCATGTGGAAATGTATAATTCCATTTCTTCTTCTTGAATGGAAGTTTGCGTATTTTTTTTGTAATAATGAGTTATTATACCAGCACCTAATGCATCCGCCACAATATTTAAGGTAGTTCTAAAACGATCTCTAAAAATTAAATTTATATTAATTTTTATGAATAGATATTTAAAATTATATAAATGCATCACAAGATGCTTACACAAACCAATCAATCGCAATAATTAATGAAACATCTTCTACTGGAACTCCTACGGAATTTAATACCATTATTAACATTACATAACCACCGCTTGGTAAGCCAGCAGCACCAATACATGATAGAGTACATGTTATGCTGCAAAATTTTTTAATATTAATATGTTATTAATTACAAATTAATTTATAGAAATACAAACCAGATTATAATAATTTTAAATAATGAAAATTGTAACCCATGCAATTGAATTATGAAAATTGCACCAATACTTTCATATAGTGCTATACCATCCATGTTTATAGTTGCACCAATTGGTACAATAAATCTAGATATTTTAGAAGGTATTCCAATATGTTTTAAGCATGATATTGTTACTGGAACTGTAGCTGTACTAAAATATAATTGTTAAATATTTATAATTTTATTAATAAGTAATAAAAATAAAAATATATTTATTTTAATTGATTACCTTGATGATGTACCAAATGCTGTGACAAAAGCTGGTCCAAGTTTAACTATAATTTTGTATGGAGATTGACGAGTACATATAAAATATAATAAAGGAAGTAATATTAAACCTTGTATGAGTAAACCACTGAAAACGGTTAAAATATAAATTCCAAGTTGTTTTATTACATTATTAAAATCTTCCACTTCAAGAATTTTTGCAGAAATAAGAAATAATGCACTTATTGGTACAAGCCTATTACAAAATGAATATTTGCATATAATAAAAACTTATTTCTTTTGTTTAAATACTTAAGACTATATAATTTTACATTATTGTCCAATTCATAATTTTCATCATTACATCTGATAAAGACTGAAAGAAATTTATTAAAGGTTCTCCTTTAACACCTATATCTCCAATTGCAAGTCCCAAAATTAAACTAAAGACTACTAATCCTAAAACATTTGTGCCTGCTATATTAATATGATTTATTTCCCATTCATTGATTGGTACTAAAAAATAGAAATTAAGTTTTAATTTAAGTTCTATAAATTTAATTTTTCTTTATTATTATATTACATACCTGATTCATTTTTTGATTTTTTTAATACAGTTTGATACTAAAAATATTTTATTTATTTTTTTTGTTTAAATTAAATTAATTATATGTGAAAAATAAAAACATAAAATGTTATTACCTGAAATAAGCATGCACTCACTATATTTTCTGGTATGAAATTTCTGTAATATAAATAAAAAAATAAATTTAATAGATAAAAGCATAAAATAGAATTTGATAATATTATGAATAAAGTATAAAGTACCGAAATAAATCTAAAATTGTATCCACTGTTATAAATGATTTGGTTGCATTTTGTGATATGATATTTTTATTTTTAAGTAAATCACCAGGTCTTATTGTTTGAACAAGTGTAACACTTAATACAATTCCAAGTAGTGTTGTTGTAATATAGTAGTATAGTGCCATTGTTCCAATATGACCTATATATATTTAAAAAATTTTTACTATGTAAAAAAAAATTTTTATTTGCTAAAGTAAATAGAAAATCAATTTAAATCAATTTGTATTTAAGTTGATTAACCTGATTTTTTTAAGTTGCAAGTAGCACTCACTATACTAGATGTTATAAGAGGTAGTATTAAGCAATTTATTAATCTCATGAATAGTTCTCCAGGAAATTTTAGATACATTATATCTCGTTTGGACCATGGTTGAAGAGTAAAAGTTTTAAGAACAAATCCTAATAAAATTCCAGCACATACACCAATAATTGTTCCTAATATTAATTTTTGTTTTAATATTTTTTTAAAAGTATTCATTTTATATTAATTTATCAATATTTTATTTTATATTTTTATCTTATATCTTTGTTATTTCACTATATTGTAGTATTTTAATATATTAAAATCATTAAACTTGTTTATTTTTTTTTTGCATAAATATTAATAATGCAAAATTTTAAAGAATATTTTCTATATATAAAAGATAAGATTTCTTATCTGACAATATGATAAAACAGAATTCCTCTTTTTTTCTTCCTTATAGAATTTTCAGAAACAAATTACTTTTTATAATATCTACAATTTTATCTAATATATTAGCAATGTGGATGAAACATTTCTTAAAAATAGGAGATATTACCTTAAGAGATATCTTTTGACAATGAATGTATTTATGACTCTTTTATATGGTATGAAGATAGATGGAATCATATCATGATATAATATATAAGATAAATTTAGTTTCATCTATAACTAGACTCGTTTTAGAAAAAATTGTTTTAATAAATTTTTTTATTATCGAATTATTTAAAGGTGTTTTAGAGGATCCTTATGACGTAAATAAATAAATAACATCGATATTTTACTTTTTATTTATTTTGCATCTATTACAATATAATAAATACGATCGTGCACAATACATAAAAGATGTGTATTTACACACGTTTTTATCAATTTTCAGGCCATAATTTTACGTATTTGTAATTGAGTTTGCATTATCATGCTATATTTTTTTTTTAATCATTTAATATAATTTATACATATCTTTACAATGCTGCATCATTCACATCACATTATGAATTTCATTTGCATCCAGTCTTCTGAAGAAAAAAATTTTATAATATATCATCTTTTTTCATTAAAATCATAATTACTTAAATTTTAAAGGTTTCAATAATTAATTCATTTTTTTTTTGTTTATATGAAGTATTAGTGAGATCAATAAAGAATTTTATTAACGTTACATTTATACAAAGTCACGTTTCGTAAAGTTTACATATCTAGATCTACATATTTTTCTATACTGTTTAATATTTGGTTTTTTTTATATTACGCAATTTTTATTTTTATATTATTTTCCTTTTGACTGCAATTTTTATTATTTTTTTAATCTATTTTTTCATGTGAGGTAATTTGATTTTGCTCAAATAAAAAGAGAAAAATTTATTTATTGACTTCCGCTTTTTGGTGATTACAATTCGCCAGCCGCAATAACGGATTCCAGTATCCCGTTGAGATGTTTCTGAGAATACAACCTATATTACAAAAAATTAAGATTTTAATTAATTCTTTGTTTTCATTTTCGAACATTTTATCGTAAACAATAAACTTAACACAACACACTTAAATGTATTGATTAGTGAGATGATTATTCTGAAAAGATTAAAACATTAAATCTTCTTAAAAACTCATGTTTTTTGTGCTGAATTTCTAATTTTATCGTAAAATCTAAAATTATATAAGAGTTATTTCTGATCATGCAAAATATTTATACGTTATAATTTAGTAGAAAAGGAATATAAAAAATCTACTGATACCACTTCCAAAATTGAACACTGTAATTACAGTGTATAAGGATTAGCTACTTCTATTTCCTTATATATAGGATATTAATGTATTTATGGAACATTTTTAGAAAGTTTTTAAAATTCAAGAAGTCAACACAAATATAAAATTTGATATATAAAAATATTGAAACTTATTTATTAAGCAATTTAAGTTTGCATTAGATAAAGCAAAACAAAAAAGAACAGATGAATCTCAATTACACTACTATCTTTTTCCATCTTCATTTTATTTATAATTTAATAAATAAACTTCAATTGATATTTTTATATATCAACTGTTATGTTTGTTTTGGCCTGCAAAATATCATGTATCACAAATATATCAACATCCTATATATGAATATATATGTATATATATGTGACACACACATACATATACATATATATTCATACATATATACATACATATACATAATATAATATTAATATATATAATATATATATTGTATATACATATATCATTCAAATATTGTTTTAAAAAAAAATAATTTAAAAATTTATCACTCAATAATTTTTAAATTAAAATTGAATTAAATGAAACTTGAAGGGATGAAAAAATTTAACTTCTAATACTAAGTGAGTGATTGAATGGAATTTATAATTATGTATATTTGTGAAGCATAATAAAATTATGCAGTGCATTTCAAAGAAAAATATAATAAATACATTACTATAAATATTTATACAATATTATATGAATTGAAGATTTTTTTTAATATTTATTCCTTCTTTACAATTATGTAAAATATTTGTTTTCCTAGACTTTTATTGTGACCTTCAAAAATGAAATTATATAATACCTGTCCCTACAAAGGTGTTTCCTTTCGTGCCTCAGCCTTCCACTGAAATCCATTAACTCGTGTTGTGATAGGTTTGTTTCTATTAGTTGCATTTTCAATTCCATTCCTAACACCTGCTACTAATCTCATGGCTGGATTGGAAACCAAACCATTACGCTTTGGTTTTGCATTACTTGCACTGTAATAAAAAATTATTTATCTTAAAAAGATGTTTTATTTAATGTTTTATAATTATATAATTATATAATTTTTTCAGTATATTTTAGAAATTTTTTGCAATTAAATATATTCATAATTAATATTTAAAGCAATACATATAAAGAAATTTTTATAAATATTTGAACAAATAGTTTTATTAAAATAAATCTTACCTAGCAGGTGTATGATCTGAGGCATGTTTTACGCTTCTGCCAACACCAGCACCACTGTTACCCAATATTATTCTCATATGAGTATCTCTAGTGAAATGAGTGTCGGCTGAATTTCTTTTTTCATCAAGTCCATTTTTTTTGTCTTTTGTCACGCTTAAACCTAACATTTCGTTCGTTAATTCAAATGGTTTGCTAATTTCATTTTTATCGATGATCTCGGTCTTTATATTAATCGGTTCGTAAATAGCCGATGTATGATTATATCCTCCGATTTGCACTTTATATGGTATATTTTGATTTCCAGTCAACAATGATACTCCAAGTTGATTCTGTATCACATTCGCTGCGGTCTGAGCACTAGGTGGACTTGTGTTTGTTGGCGAATAGGGTATCAGGCTGTCACTTAACGGTGAATGAGGTGGTGATGCGTAGATAGGACTTTGCGGTTCACTTTTCAGAGGTGATAAAAGTTTGCTGAGTGGACGACTCTTGGCTCCCCTCGAGCATTGTTGCAGTTGTTGCGTGAAAGATAATGGTGTCTAAAATTATAGCAGTCAGATGATGCGGGGAGAATTTCCCAGAGGAGAATGAGAATCAAATTCGTAGCGTGTATAGATCGAGTTGGTCTTTAACTTTTTAAATAAGAATCAATCGAAAGTTTTAAATGTGAAATAAGATTGTTTGAGATAACAGTTAAACAAAATCTTCGTACAAAGAGTGATCTAGTTAAAAAAAAAAAAAAACGATCTGTACACGAGTGCATAAAAACGAAATGAACAAAACATGCAGTCAGAAAGAGATGATGAAAATCGATTGGAAGTGGTATCGGAGAATTTGAATTGATTCCTTAAATTACACAAAAGAGTTAATAAAAAAAGCAATAACGTTGTTACCTACTTTTATTACCTGATTCACCATCGAGTTCTGGTTAAATTTTCCCTGATCGCTTTTTGTGCTACCGGTTAGGTTGCTACTAGATTTGCTGTTGCTGGAATTATTTCCCAGAGACACGCAGCTTCTTCTTTTTGTCGAATCCGGCGACTCTGCCGGACTGTATTGAGTTGAAAGGGGATTCAAAATTGCGGATGATGGTTTTGTTTCTGCTGTCGAATTTGATGTTACTGAAGTAGCACTACTACTTCCGCCTACATTATAATAAACAATATATATTACAATAATGCAATTTCAAATCAAAAAATGAATTAGTAAAAATTATAATAAAAAAATGAACCTCCATTGATGCCAGGCCTTAGACTTCGTTGATTAGCTGAATATTCCTCGAGCAGTCTTACTACTGTGTCGTGGCCGCTTTTGGCAGCTACTTTGATAGCATTTCGACCACAATGATCAGAGTGGCTGGGATCAGCACCGTGATTTAAGAGTGCTCGTACACAGTGTTCATGACCCTCTTGTGCGGCGATACCTAATTAATATTGATTTTTAATAATTATTTTATACTAGTTTCATTATTATTTTACAGATGAAATTTGATTATTATTTTACAGATGAAATTTGATTATTATTATTACCTAAAGCTGTTGCTCCTTGATTACAAGTATGATCAGGAGTTGCTCCATGTTCAAGAAGCAATCTGACAATGGCTGCATGACCTTGCCAGGCTGCAGAATGTAAAGGAGTTCTATTCTCATTGTCACAAGCATTTACACTGGCACTACCTTCTGTTAATAACAAAGCTACCATTTCAACATGTCCCTGCCAAGCACTTACATGCAAAGGAGTTCGTCCCTGTAATATTATATTAAATTTATAATTTCATATTCTAATAAAATATAAATATTCTAATTTTCATATTCATATAAATAAATAATTTCATATAAATAAAATTTCTATTATGATATAAATTAAAATATGATATAATCGAATGTTGGAAAACTTCTGAATAATTTATTTCTAAAAGCAATATTAAATTGCATAAAAATTTGTAGATTTTTTTAATTTAATTTTTTCAAATAAATAATAAAATGTTAAAAATTTTTGAATTAACAATATTATATGTGTTAATGTAATATTGTACATAAAATTACATGAAAGGAAATAAAAAAATATTGAAAACGATACAAAAATCAATTTATAAAAATAAAAATCTTCAATTTGACAAAAATTTTTAGTGGTATATTTTTATAGAATAATAAGTCTATTTTGAAGAAGATTGTAAATTTTTCTACGATTTTTATAAGATTTAAATTATTATAAAAATTTTTCATTTACTTCTGAATCCCTGCTTTCCACATCTGCTCGGGCATGCTCCAACAAAAATCTTGCCATTGCCAATCTGTTTTCTAGAGCAAGAATATAAAGAGTGCTTCTTCCATCAGCATCTTTTGCATTCACATCTGCATTATGAGCTAACAGTATCCTGACAGTATCGTAGTGACCTTCCAAAGCTGCAAGTCTGTAATAGTTTTTGATTATTATGAAGATATCTTAGAAAATAAAATTTATACAAAATATATATTAGAGTATCATTATTAAGTTACCTGAGAGCAGTTTTTCCATCATGAGCATGTTGATCGATTGGCGCTCCATGCTGTTCTAACAGTCTT